TTTTTTGGTGGCTGGCTGCGAAATGAAAGAACATGAATTTACAAATATGCCCAGCAAATTTAGAGGTTAACCACGAAGCCTGCTCTTGGGGCTTAAATTAAGATTGAAGCGAGTTTATTTGACACGGCCTCAAATTCTGGCCCCTTATTTAGGTGGTAAAAGAATTAGGGACATGAGAACATTATGATCAAGTTTAAGTAGAAGCAAACCACATTTCTTGGCTTTTACATGTTTAAGAAAGGTATGTCCCTGCCTTTCTTCTGTAATATAGGATTCAATAAACATGAGATAAGGAAAAACTAGAGAGGGAGTCCAAAGAAACACATGTGGAGGTTATGTGCTGTTAGCCTTCAATAGCACAGAAAATCCAAAGGGACGTAAAATCCAGGCCCTATAGGCACATGCATTCATTTAAAAGCAACAAGATAGTTCCTCATGCATATTGAGTTAGGGCAATATTTCAACCTGAATAAGCTTTGAGTAAAGCTTATTTTTTACCTGAAGCTCCCTAGACTGAAAAAGAGAAAGCCTCGAGAGTAGATATTGTGTTCATATTACAACTTGTCAGTTGGACTTCTGCATTCCATTTACCAATGAGTATCTGTCTGCCCTGACTGCCTATCCTTCACCAAAGTCAGCAAACACTGACTCCCTCAGAATGTGCAGGAGGAAGGAGTCATAGGGTCACCATAACTCAGAATGATGTTGACACTGTTTTAATCATTTAAAATGTTTTGAGGCAGATACTTTTGGTTGGGGGGAAAAAACATGAGGCCTTACAGCATGAGCTCTGACCTAGATTACCAAGTTTGAATCAGCTCCATCACTCGTAATTGTGTGACTTTGAGCCAAATTACCTCATCCTGCACCTCAATTTTCCTTGTCTGTAAAATGGGGATAATGATATGTCCTACCTCATATGGCGTGGTGAGGATTAAATGAGTTAATACATCAAAAGTGCTTATAACAATGATTGATATACATTAAGTGCTCAAAAAAAATTAGTTCTTACCTCAACCCCTTCCCCCCAACACACTTTTTTTTTTCTTCTTTGTTTGCTTTTTTACTGGCAGAGTCTGGAATTTGTACAGCTGACTACTCTCCTGCACATCGGCATGTACTTCTCTCAGCCAATAAAGACAAGGCCACATCCCAGGCTAGTGAGGAACAGCAGGTGGTATAATTCTGGCCAATCAGACACAAGTTTCCTGGGAAGGTGGGGGGGTGTTCAGGGAAGGTTTCTTCCCAAAAGAAGTACATTGGTAGAAAATGTATCTTTTCTTCTTCTAATGATGCTGTTTCTGCATGTATACCTACCTGTAACAGCAGAGCCATCTTGGCACCGTGAAGGGAGCTGGAAGAAAGATGGAAACAATAATGACATTATTGAGTTGAAGAATTAACTAACCCTGAAGTTCCTACCTCTGGACTTGTTAAATAAAATAATTTTCCTTATTGCTTAAGCCATTTTGAGTAGGATTTTCTGTTATCATACCTGAAAACACCCTAACTGATATTTCTTGAGCATCTACTATGTTTAAGATATTTTATAGAAAGTACAGTAAAACCCTGAACCTGATCTCACCAAGTTTTCCAGAAACTTGGGGGAGATAGACTATGAAAAGAAAACTACGAACAGCAGGCAGTAAATATCAAGTGCTTGGATTGGGGTGATCTGAGAAAGCAACACAGGTAGTCATATATGAAGAAAGGACTCAGAGAAAAAGAAAAACATAGATGGGCAGGGTGAGCGGGAACATTCTAGGCAGGGAAAATTGTGTAGACAAATGTAGGGGAGAGTTAGGATTGTGTTAGTTTATTAGGGCTGCCATAACAAAATGCCACAAACTGGGTAGAAATAGGTTAGGATTGCTGTTGCATATAGTCTAGACAGGCACTGATAAGGACTGAACTGAGAGGAAGTTGAAGGGATTGAAGGAAAGAGAAACTGAGAAGAAAAGGACAAGATGCATGCTTGGACATTTCAAGCAATCAGGCCGGTAGAAACTTGTGTCATAATAATTCAGCTTTTAAGAAGAAGTATTATTTTGTCATAATAGGGTTGTGATGCTTGGACTTAAAGGTTCCAGTTTTCTAACACTTAAGACTACCTATCTGAATACGAATAGGCTTCCTTGTTGGATATGGGGTGAATACAAGAAGTCAGAAAAAATGCAAATATCAGGTAGAAGATGGGATTATTAGATATTCTTCCAAGGTCCCATCTATGGTTTGGGGTCAGAAGCTTAAAGGTTTTATTTCGAACCCAGAATAACCTGGCCAGTTGGCTTGGTTGGTTAGAGCATGGTGTCATAACACCAACATCAAGGGTTTGGATCCCCATACTGGCCAGCTGCCAAAAAAATAAAAGAAACCCACCAAAAAACAGAATAGGCAAAACATCTAGCAAACTCCCCAAATTGCCCAGTCTTCCCATAGGGATGATCTAGGATAGGGTAGCACTCTCCACCCTAGTTGGAGTAGACCCTTTTGTTTTCTAGTTTGGGCAATACTCAGCATGCCTCAAGGGCAATGGGTATTATGTCAGTCACATGTATAAAATATAGTAAATGGGCTTGGAAAATTAAGAATTTTTTTTTAACCTTACCCATAAATTTATTCAAAATAGTTTGTGGACAAATATAAACTGCAAAACTTATAAACATTGCAGTGAAAAACAAAATAAAAATCAATGTGAATTTCAATTTAGTAATTAGTTTTTATTTATTTACGATTATACATATTTATATAGTACAGAGTTGACTTTCAGTATTTGTGTACAGCATGTGATGATCAAATCAGTATTATTAGCATGTTTATCATTATAAATCATATTTATTCTTTGTGTCCCTGACCTAATTACTCTCTAACCCCCCTCCTCTTCCCTTTCCCACCTCTAGTAGCTATAGGTCTGTTCTCTCCTTCTGAAAGTTCAATGTTTTATTGTGATCTTTCTTTCTTATCTCCCACTTATGAGTGAGGACGTGGTATTTCTTTCTGTGCCTCACTTATTTCACTTAACATAATGAAAAACTGAGAATTGCAAGATCTCTTGTATGTAAACTGAGAATGTATGACTTTTATAAACTGTAATCACTAAATAAAATGCCTGCTTTTAAAGTTATTCTTTTAAAAAATGGGTTTTTTTCCTTTTTTTTAAAGTTGAAGGTAAACCGCAAAACTACCCCCCATTCTTCTCAGTACAGCTCTTTCAGGGGTAGGCACTGTAAAGAGCTGTATCTGTAGCATTCTAGACCTTTCACTAAACATACCCCTACCCCCATCTCACACACATACTTAAATAAATATACATTTTCATAGCTATACATATAAAAGTATGTATTACATAATATATATTTATATGGCTATATATCCTATACATGCACTCAAAGATATATAATTTTATTTCTTTAATAAAACCAGGATTCATGTTAGACACTGTCCAACAATTTGCATTTTTCACATATATCTAATTTAGTTTAGTACATACTCTCAAATGACCCATATGTTAAATATTTTCTTAAATAATAAAGCCAAATATACCACCTCATTTAGGTTATTTAAGAATTAGAAAAATACAGTATTCTAAGGAAATTATAATAGATCAATAAAATTCTTGTCAGTTCTCAAACATTACAACATGTAGTGTTTTCTATCTTGAACATTTTCATTGAACTCTTGAAGGAGAAAAAATAAAATGATTTAATATGTCTTTACACTTTTATTAATAGGCATCCCTTTCCAGGTGCTTTCTTTCAGATACTTAACATTTTTTATCCGAATAGAAAGAACACATACATAGTACCAATTTCAGAAATTGCCAGGGCCAAGCCTGTGGCGCACTCGGGAGAGTGCGGCGCTGGGAGTGCAGCAGTGCTTCCACCGCGGGTTCGGATCCTATATAGGGATGACGGGTGCGCTCACAGCGCTCGCTGGCTGAGCGCGGTGCAGCCGGTCACAAAAAGGACAAAAAAAAAAAAAAAAAGAGAGAAATTGCCAAAGGGTATGTATAGTCAAAAGTAAGTCTTCCTTTCCCCTAGTTCCCCAGCCCAATAATTTCTTTTCCCAGAGGCAACTGTTAACCACTTTCTTGTATATTCTAAAGATATATATGCTTTTACATGTAAACTGCTTTTATTTATAGTTTTTTTTTCATGATGCACCTTGTTTCACAGGTTTTAACTTGAGTAGAGAGAGAACTAATGATTTTTTCTGTGTGAGTAGGGATAATTTGCAGCTGTTCCTTGAAGATTTTTAAAAGATACATTTTTAAGTATAATCTAAAATGTTTTTTTTTTAAAAAGATGTTTCTTAATACTACACACATTTAAAATAAGAAAATATCCAAAAAGCAACCCCCCCCCCCCCCCCCCCCCACAATTCTAGGACTTGCTTGGGTAAACTTTATTGTAATTTTGACTTCTCTACCCAAATGAGAGAGAAGGGATAGAAAAAGGACATGAGTCAAAAAACTTATTTGGGAGCCTGGGGTAATGAAGGATAAGTAAAGAATAATTTGGATATCAAAGGATTAAGAGAGGCCCTTGAGAAAACTGATAAAGCTCTTAAATATCTCTTTCTTAAAATTAAAAAAAAAATCATGACAAAGTAGCAAAAGTCAAAGATGAAGTATATCCTATTTAAAATAATCAACCCCTAAATCAACACTTGACTCATTTTTTGTTCTAAGACTTAGCACAGTTATAATCCTATCTACACTAAATTTTATGAAACTTAAACCTCATTCATAATTTTACATTTTGATTTTGAGATAAACTTAAAAGTAAATGGGGGAAAGAAAGTATTGGGATTTTAAGTTCTTGTTTTAAGTGGATTCACTTTACCTGGGCCTTTTCAGGACCTTATCCATGATCACCCTTATTTGTATCCTCAGTGTCCTTAAGAAACATCTGTTATATATACAAAAGTAAAGGTGTTGATTGAAAGGTTCGTTTTAAGTTTATGTTAGTAAAAAGGAAGCCAAAGAGTCAAATGGTGTGTATCGAAAATACCTTTATTTCAATGGCAAAAAAAGCATAAATCTTACTATAATAGTTGATATTTTTCCTATAACAGTAAACACACATCTTGAGTAGCAACTCATACATTGTAGGTTTAAAAAGACCCACTAGACCATGAGATCTCAAGAATCATTAGATCTAAAGATATAAATCATTAAGAAAACAAGGTTTTAGAATGTTAGTTTCTCACATTCCACATAGAACTTCCAATGCTGATCCATTATATGGCATGGGAGAAATTCTTGATCACTGATTAATAGTATTTCATTTATTTGTAGATAATGTGGGATGCTTTGCAATGACTCTCTTGAAGTTCCTGTTTAAAGAAGTATAAAGAAATTAAAAGCTGCCTTTTAAAATGTAAGTTTTAAATTTAGTTATTACAAATCCTATAATCCAGTGTGAGCACACATACTAGGTTTTCTGATCAAGACATTTCATCATTCATTCCATTTTCTATACCTGAGACAAAACTATAAACCAGCATTGGCTAATCTTGGCAGAGAGAGGCCTGTTTGTAGTCTAAAACACCACGAGGAAAAGAATGATCAGAACATCTAAAGGTAGTTATACAAGCCCCTCTATGCTTTAATTTCCAATAAATTGAGAAAAAAGCAGTTGTGAGGATTAAATGATATTTTGCTTGTAAAATGCTTAGCATACTGCCTGGCATATAGCAAATACTCAGTAAATATTAGCTGCTATTATTATTAATATTATCATTATTTATTACAGAAAAGAGTATTAGGCTGAAAGATGGATAACTTTCTAGTCCTGCCTCTGCCACAGACTTGGTGTGTGATCTTAAGCAAGTTATATGGCTTCTTTGGATTTCCATCTCTCTGAGAGGAAAGTTATATGGCTTCTTTGGATTTCCATCTCTCTGAGAGGTGAGAGGTTTGATGATCAAGAGGGTTCCTTTCGGCCCTGCCAGTCTTAAAACTAGTTTCTTCAAGCTCCCTGACAGTCTCAGAGATTGGCTATATGAGGTATACATTATTCAGAAAATTGAATCTTATTCAACAGATAGCACCAATATGTGTGACCTCAACCAGTCAGTTTTAGGAATACACACCGTATAGTACAAGAGCTTTGTTCATAAATTCTAGGCAATACAAATGTTTTACATAATTACATATCTGTGGGGCATCTGGTCTTTTTATAAAGACTTTTTTTGTTGTTGTTGTTTTTTGCAGCTGGTCGGTACAGGAATCTAAACCCTTGACCTTGGTGTTGCCAGCACCATGCTCTAACCAACTGAACTAACCGGCCAGCACTGGCATCTGGTGTTTTTGATGCCCAGTATCCATTTATCCTTCTTGTGGTGACTCACCCTAATTTGCCTGTGTATGGCCAACCCTTTCCCTATATACATGGCCCACATGCTTCTAGTGAAGTTGTTCTCAACCTCCTGATTCATTTAGATCTAAGCTAATCAGAGAACAGGCATTGATTCAGGGATGAGAATATGACCTATTCATCAGAGGGAAGTGAGATGCAATGAGATTTTTGTTGGGTCTTTTGGAAAAGAGTCACATATACATTCTTCTTCTCTAGACTTTAACCTGGGAGCTTGTAGCTGTGGGATAGTGAGAGGAGAGGCCATTAGGATGTAGCCAGTATGAGGAAATGGAGCTGAGAATGAAAAGCAAAAGAAACTGGGTGCTCAGTTATGCTGTTTGAACCCTGGATAAAGCCTGAAGATCCGTTCCTGGTCTTTCATGTATATGAGTCAATAAAATTATTTTTGGGGGATTTCAGACAGTCTGAGTTGGGTTTTAGACCATCACTTAATAATCTAAAGAAGTTTAACTTGTATACATGGTCCATATGTAAACATAACAATTCCCTTTTTAGAAGCAGTCTTCGTTTTATAGACTTTCTGAAACAAGGTATCCCACAAAAGTTGGGGATGGGAAGCATTCTTCTCTCAGGAAAAACCCATAGAAATAAGGCTTTAAATATTAATTTAAATTTGTTTCATCAAGGTTGGCTAAGTTTCATCATTTAAGCACTATCATTTACACTTGTCTCTTCCTCCACAAGATACTGTCCCCCACCTTAGTTATGACTTGAAAAACCTAATGCATCTACCATAATTTACTTGTAATTCACAATTTATTCCTCTTTTTTCACTATTCAGGCATGTGCAAACACTTCTACAGGATTGATATTCAGAAGCAGAATTATGGAGTTGAAGGGTTTATACACATTTTAAATTTTAAAAGATTCTGCCAGAGTGCCCCCCAAATGCATCCTTTTATACTACCAACAACAGTGTATGAGAGTGTTAAACCTGTTTTTTTCCTCCATATCCTTGCCAACACTGAATATTATCAACCTTTTTAAGTTTGCCACTCTGATGGTAAAAAAACTCTGTTATTTTCATTGGCATATTCCTAATTACTATTTAGTGTGAGCATCTTTCATGTACTTACTGTCCTTTAAAAGTTTTAGGACTGGGAAAGTGCCTATTAAAGATTTTGTCTGCATTGATTTGATCAAATATTAATCACAGAATGGAGCTAACTAGGTCAGCAGGTGTGACATATGACTAAATTCTGGCCAATGACATATAAATCAAAGTGTATTAGACTTCAGGGATGGTTCCTTAAGGGGACAGACAGCTACAGAAGCCTGTTTGTTTTTTTTTTTGCCTGCCTTCTCTCCATCTTTCTAATGCCTACAATGCAGATGTGATAGCTAGGAAGTCATAATTATTTGGGGCCATGAATTGACCTCAAGATGTAAACCGGTAATGAGGAAGATGAAGCAGAAAGACAGGATGACTTTGTGGTGCTGCTATGCCTGCTCTGGACTGCCAACATCCAGACTTCTCTATGAAAAAATAAATCCTTTTTTTTTTTTTTTGTCCTTTTTGAGACCGTCTGCACCGCGCTCAGCCAGTGAGCGCTATGAGCATACCGGTCATCCCTATATAGGATCCGAACCCGCGGCGGGAGCGCTGCTGCGCTCCCAGTGCCGCACTGTCCCGAGTGCGCCATGGGCTCGGCCCAATCCTTTTGTTTTTAAATCACAGTTATTTTGGGTTTTCTGTCTTAAAAAGACTTTTGGCAGAGACTGTTAGGTTTTGGCATGCAGCCAAACCTAATCCTACCTAATACAGAACTTTCGAACTCTAAGAAGTAGGTAGAACATTTTTGCAAAGACCTAGATCCCACAGGGTCCACCTTGGGGCTTTATCTTTTCAGGCACAGAGAGATCTTAAATATTTAGGTACATGGGAAATCATGATATGAAAAAATACAAAACCCACCCAATATGCCAATTTTGACATCTTACTTACTATAATAATCATATTCTGTGAACTTTGAATATACAAGAGCAGATGTATGGATGACTAGAAAGATGTATATACAAGGAAAAATCTACTATTTAAGGTACTGGTATTAGAATGGCAAGATGTGAGTCTTGAGTTATGTAAATGCAGCCATCTTCGCAACTATGACAATTTCTATTGTTCCACAGTTATTGTTTTAGGAACTTTTACATCTCATTTA